ACTCTGTCCTCTGTCCTCGACTCATCTGTCCTCTGTCCTCATCTCCTATGTCCTCGACTTATCTGTTCTCTGTCCTCAGCTCCTCTGTCCTCGACTCCTCTGTCCTCGACTCCTCTTTCCTCGACTCCTCTGTCCTCGACTCTTCTGTCCTCTGTCTTCGACTCCTCTGTCCTCTGTCCTCTGTCCTCAACTCCTCTGTCCATGACTCCTCTGTCTTCTGTCCTCAACTCCTCTGTCCTCGACTCCTCTGTCCTCTGTCCTCGACTCCTCTGTCCTCTGTCCTCAACTCCTCTGTCCTCGACTCATCTGTCCTCTGTCCTCAACTCCTCTGTCCTCGACTCCTCTGTCCACGACTCCTCTGTCATCTGTCCTCGACTCATCTGACCTCTGTCCTCAACTCCTCTGTCCTCGACTTTTCTGTCCTCTGTCCTCAACTCATCTGTCCTCAACTACTCTGTCCTCTGTCCTCGACTCATCTGTCCTCTGTCCTCAACTCCTCTGTCCTTGACTCCTCTTTCCTCGACTCCTCTGTCCTCGACTCTTCTGTCCTCGACTCCTCTGTCCTCAACTTCTCTGTCCTCTGTCCTCGACTCCTCTGTCCATGACTCCTCTGTCCTCAACTCCTCTGTCCTCGACTCCTCTGTTCTCTGTCCTCGACTCTTCTGTCCTCGACTCTTCTGTCCTCGACTCCTCTGTCCACGACTCCTCTGTTCTCTGTTCTCGACTCCTCTGTCCTCGACTCCTCTGTCCTTGACTCCTCTGTCCTCGACTCCTTTGTTCTCTGTCCTCAACTCTTCTGTCCTCTGTCCCCAAGTCCTCTGTCCTCGACTCCTCTGTCCTCGACTCCTCTGTTCTCTGTCCTCGACTCGTCTGTCCTCTGTCCTCAACTCCTCTGTCCTCTGTCCTCGACTCATCTGTCCTCTGTCCTCAACTCATCTGTCCTCTGTCCTCAACTCCTCTGTCCTTGACTCATCTGTCCTCGACTTTTCTGTCCCTCTGTCCTCGACTCATCTGTCCTCTGTCCTCAACTCATCTGTCCTCTGTCCTCAACTCCTCTGTCCTTGACTCATCTGTCCTCGACTTTTCTGTCCCTCTGTCCTCGACTCCTCTGTCCACGACTCCTCTGTCCTCGACTCTTCTGTCCTCTTTCCTCGACTCATCTGTCCTCTGTCCTCAACTCCTCTGTCCTCGACTCATCTGTCCTCGACTCCTCTGTCCACGACTCAGGGTCACAGTGATGTCTCATGTCCTTTACTATCCACTTGTCCTTTACTAACCACTGTGTTGTGTCGAAGGAAAGGCCATAAGGACTCAGGAAAAGTTTACGTGCACAGCGTCATTTACTCACACGGCCAATCGTTCGTTCGGTTTGTGGTTCTGTTGACGTAGACCATTTCAACATAAACCCACCACGGCAGGTCCGATTATCACTTCTGTCAAACAAAACGTTTACTCTTCATGTCACTCTGTCGCAAACAGCTGTGTCCAGACGGTCCCGACGGTCCCGACGACTGAAATCCAGTCAGACATTCAGTCCTAACATTGTCACATGCCCAGACCTTCACCAACTGCTGCTGCGTCCTCTCTGACATCATCTGTTTGTATGTAAACAGGTGACTCCTCTGACATCTGAATGGAGGTGGACTGCTGACCTTTTGATTGACACCTCACGTGAACCAATAGGAGCTTCCAGTACTTTTGTTATGGACATGATAACCAATGAGGGCCTGAGATGAAGGAAGATGTAGCCCTGACACAGTAGCCAGCGATTGGCCCGGTGGTTTATGGGTCTTGTAGTCAATGAGATTTTAACCCATTACTGCGACCTGGTCTCACTCTGAAGTCACCAAATAACGGTGCTTGGTCAGTGACTTTTGGCATCAGATACTAACGAGAAGAGCCGTCATTGAATGTCAGCATGATATGCAGCTGGTCACCGTTTTTGTGGCGGCTGTCAAAATTGGGGGAATGCGGCAGGACAACAACATAAGTTAATTTGGCATAAGTCAAAGTAGGGAGGTGGGAGGGGTGTTGGATGGGTCAAACAACCATCGAATTTCACCTGGAGGCCAGTCTTCACTTCCTGTAAGACTGAAAAGCCAAACCTCAGTTTCTAAAGCTAATGTCAGCAAGCTAATGTCAGCGAGTTAATGTTAGCAAGCTAACGTTGGCCAACATGCTAACAAATACCACAGAACATGATGTTGGTTTGTTCTCCATGTTCTGACCTGTCAGACTCGGTGGTGGCGGCTCATGTGGAGCAGTTTGTGTTTTTCATGGCCGACATCAGCTAATTAGACTCATCAACAACCACCATCTTCTCCACATAGTCAGACTGTATCCTTAATCTCCACCCAACTGTGTTGTCATTGTGTCTCAGGTGAATCACCATGACGACAGAGCCAGGTGAGCCGGAGGAGTCTTTTCCTGAAGCCGCAGCCCATTCCACACCTAAACAGGTAAACTTAAAAATACCAGGAAGTAAAAGGACTGTTGATCAGTAACGTGCATGACATGACACGACATTCTGCGTCCTCAGGGAGGGGAGGGCGGGTCATCCCAGAGCCAAGCTCAAGGCTCATTGGCTGAGGACTCAACGAGTCACCTGTCGTCGAGCAGTCGGATTGCTCGGTCTCCAGCCAGAAACCCGCTGAGCTTCAGGACGATGCAGACCAAGGTGACCCTACTGGATGGGTCACTGTTCACCTGCACTATGGAGGTGAGACGTGGGGGGTGGTAGGCAGGTGAGGCAGGTGTGAAACATACATTAATGCTTTCGTCTCTGTTGCCATAGAAACGTGCTCGTGGTTCACAGCTGTTTGAGAAAGTTTGTGAACACATGAACCTGCTGGAGAGGGACTACTTTGCTTTGTCCTTCAGAGACGCTGACAACAACAAGGTACCTGTCTGATCTCCGTCTCTGTCTGTCTGTCCAATTTCTTTCTGTCTGTCTGTCTGATCTCTGTCTGTCTGATCTCTGTTTATAAGTTTATTTATTTGTAAACAGGACAATGCACATTAATAAAACAATAAAATGTAAATGTGCCAGATTTAGCCGAAAGGCTAATTTTCATCTGTCTTTGTCTGTCTGTCTGATCTCTGTCTGTCTGTCTGTCTGTCTGTTTGATCTCTGTCCCTGTCTCTGTCTGTCTGATCTCTGTCCTTTACCTGTCTTGTAGAACTGGTTGGATCCAGCGAAGGAGATGAAGAAGCAGGTCAGAGGTCAGTAGCTCCACCCCCTTTAACTGAGAGTCGGGCATCGTACATTTGATTCTGATTGGTCAGTTTTGGACGGCAGGGTAACGGTTTTAGTGAAATGATTTCTCCCTCGCTGTCTTTCAGGAGTTCCCTGGAACTTCTCCTTTAACATCAAGTTTTACCCTCCTGACCCCGCCCAGCTCTCTGAGGACATCACCAGGTACTTTCACTCACCTGTCCAACAGAGCTCAGCTGTACACTTGAAAAACTTCAGGACTTTCTGTCTTTCTGCAGGTACTTCCTGTGTCTCCAGCTCAGACAGGATATAGTTTCTGGTCGTCTTCCATGTTCGTTTGCGACTCACACCGTCCTCGGCTCCTACACCATCCAATCAGAGCTTGGAGACTACGATCCTGGTACTGTATTCTACTGCAGTATTACCCTCCTACATTCTGTTATATACCGCCATACCCTCATACTGTACCCTGCTGTACCCTCATACTGTACCCTGCCATACCCTCATACTGTACCCTGCTGTACCCTTATACTGTACCCTGCCATACCCTCATACTGTACCCTGCGGTACTCTCATACCGTACCCTGCCATATCCTCATACTTTACTCTGCGGTACTCTCATACTGTACCCTGCTGTACCCTCATAGTGTACCCTGCCATACCCTCGTACTGTACCCTAGCGGTACCCTTATACTGTACCCTGCCATACTCTCATACTGTACCCTGCTGTACCCTCATACTGTACCCTGCCATACCCTCATACTGTACCCTGCGGTACTCTCATACTGTACCCTGCGGTACTCTCATATTGTACCCTGCTGTACCCTCATACTGTACCCTGCTGTACTCTCATACTGTACCCTGCGGTATTCACATACTGTACCCTGCTGTACCCTTATACTGTACCCTGCCATATCCTCATACTGTACCCTGCGGTACTCTCATACTGTACCCTGCTGTACCCTTATACTGTACCCTGCCATATCCTCATACTGTACTCTGCAGTACCCTCATACTGTACCCTGCTGCACCCTCATACTGTAACTTGCCGTACCCTCATACTGTACCCTGCCATACCCTCATACTGTATTTTGCTGTACCTTCATACTGTACCCTGCTGTACCCTCATACTGTACCTCATACTGTACCCTGCTGTACCCTGCTGTACCCTGCTGTTCCCTGCTGTACTCTCATACGGTACTTCATACTATACTCTGCTGTACCCTCATGCTGACTCTCACACTGTACCCTGCCGTACCCTCATACTGTACCCTGCTGTTCCCTCATACGGTACTTCTTATTGTACCCTGCTGTACCCTCATACTGTACCTTATACTGTCCCTGCCGTACCCTCATACTGTACCCTGCTGTCCCCTCATTCTGTACCCTCATACTGTACCCTGCTGTACCCTCATATGGTACTTCTTATTGTACCCCGCTGTACCCTCATACTGTACCCTGCTGTCCCCTCATACGGTACTTCTTATTGTACCCTGCTGTACCCTCGTACTGTACCCTGCTGTACCCTCATACGGTACTTCTTATTGTACCCTGCTGTACCCTCATACAGTACCTTATACTGTCCCTGCCGTACCCTCATACTGTTCACTGCCACAACCTCATACTGTACCCTGCTGTACCCTCATACTGACTCTCACACTGTACCCTGCCGTACCCTCATACTGTACCCTGCCGTACCCTCATACTGTTCACTGCCACAACCTCATACTGTATCCTGCCGTACCCTCATATTGTACCCTGCCGAACCCTCATACTATACCCTGCTGTACCGTCATACGGTACTTATTATTGTACCCCGCTGTACCCTCATACTGTACCCTGCTGTACCCTCATAAGGTACTTTTTATTGTACCCCGCTGTACCCTCATACTGTACCTTATACTGTCCCTGCCGTACCCTCATACTGTACCCTGCTGTACCCTCATACGGTACTTCTTATTGTACCCCGCTGTACCCTCATACTGTACCTCATATTGTACCCTGCTGTACTCTCATACTGTACCTTATACTGTACCCTACCATACCCTCATCCTGTACCCTGCTGTACCCTCATATTGTATTCTGCCGTACCGTCATACTATATCCTACTGTACTCTCATACTGTACCTCATATTGTACCCTGCCTTACCCTTCTACTGTACCCTGCTGTACTCTCATACTGTACCTTATACTGTACCCTACCATACCCTCATCCTGTACCCTGCTGTACCCTCATATTGTATTCTGCCGTACCGTCATACTATATCCTACTGTACTCTCATACTGTACCTCATATTGTACCCTGCCTTACCCTTCTACTGTACCCTGCTGTACTCTCATACTGTACCTTATACTGTACCCTACCATACCCTCATCCTGTACCCTGCTGTACCCTCATATTGTATTCTGCCGTACCGTCATACTATATCCTACTGTACTCTCATACTGTACCTAATGTTGTACCCTGCCTTACCCTTCTACTGTACCCTGCTGTACTCTCATACTGTACCTTATACTGTACCCTACCATACCCTCATCCTGTACCCTGCTGTACCCTCATATTGTATTCTGCCGTACCGTCATACTATATCCTACTGTACTCTCATAATGTACCTCATGTTGTACCCTGCCTTACCCTTCTACTGTACCCTGCTGTACTCTCATACTGTACCTTATACTGTACCCTACCATACCCTCATACTGTACCCTGCTGTACCCTCATATTGTATTCTGCCGTACCGTCATACTATACCCTACTGTACTCTCAAACTGTACCTCATACTGTACCCTGCTGTACCCTCATACTGTACCCTGACATACCCTCATACCATACCCTGCCATACCCTTATACCATACCCTGCCCTACCTCAGAGGTTCCCAACTGGTGGTTTGCAGTGTGAAAGTGGGTCGCAGGTCTATTCTGAATGGACCACAAGTGACACGCATGTGTCAAGTTTGTAAAAAACAAGTTTTATTTTAAAGTACAGGGAGCCTTTATTTTGAAGTGCTGTTTCCTGCTGTAGAGTGGGTGACTGAGGGACAGATACGTAACAGAGACAGAAAAAACAGCTGGACGACATGTCCAAACACAAGTAGGACATTGAATATATTAAACTGTGTGGACCTTGAACTGATGACTGAGGAGAACTCTGGACCAGTTGGGAACCACTGCCATGCCCTACTGTACCCTCTTCTGCCATACCTTAACACACTTTACCCTGCTGTGACATGACCTAACGTTCCCTGCCGTACCCTTCTCCGACATACCCCACCATACCCTACCTAACCCTGCCTTACCTTACCTAACTCTACCTAACCCTGCCATACCCTACCTAACCCTGCCATACCTTACCTAACCCTACCTAACCCTGCCATACCCTACCATACCCTGCCATACTCTGATGTCTCCTTTGCACCATAACTTGTTGGACTCTGCTGGACTCTTCACTGAGTGTTTTGTTACTTAACTGTGAAATTGAAAATGATCTTTAAAATATTCCAGAGTGAAGTACTTTTCTTCTGACTGAACAGCCTTCTGGAGATACGGCTGAAAGCTCCAGCAGTAAGGGAACTCTCTGGTTTAACGGTTCTGTCTCTGTCTGTCTCTGTCCGACTTTGTCTTTCAGAGGAGTGTGGGTCCGACTACATCAGTGAACTGTGCTTTGCCCCAAATCAAACAAAGGAAATGGAGGAGAAAATCATGGAGCTGCACCGAACATACAGGTTCTCACCAGAACACCTGAATGTGATTTGATCCAATAACTGAATGAGATGTGAACAGATCATGTGACTGTGTGTTTAGAGGAATGACACCAGCTGAGGCCGAGATGCACTTCCTGGACAATGTAAAGAAACTTTCCATGTATGGAGTTGACCTTCATCACGCTAAGGTAAGAACACACCAACATTAATCTAACCTGAACTTAAGTCCAGGACATTCTCGGCACGTCATGTAGAAATCATGCATCATGTTTGTGTGAGGGTGGTGCTGTGACGTCAGCTGGACAGAGTTGGGTCATCGACAATAAAATCCCGCACACAAATAACGAGCACGGTGATGTCTCAGGGAACCAGGTTTTCCTCTTCAGGATCTGTGAACGTTCATGTTAAAATGAGCTTTTGTTTAGAACAGCTTCAGATTTAGGAACGTTGTCAGACAGAAAATGTGACCTCAGTGAGGAGGTGAGGTCGACCCCGTTCTTTCATCAGATGTGATTGGTTGTCATAGACACGCCTCTTTAGATGTAAGGTAAGGACACCTGGTGGACACTAAATGAATTGTATCATGATATGAGACACTGTGTGTCTGTGTGTCTCTTTGTCTCTGTGTCTCTGTGTCTCTCTGTGTCTCTGTGTGTCTCTGTGTGTCTCAGTGTGACTCTGTGTGTCTGTCTCTGTGTGAGTCTGTGTGTCTCTGTGTGTCTCTCTGTATCTCTGTGTCTCTGGCCTTAAAGGGATAGTTCGAAATTTTGGCATATTCGCCTATTGCCGTAATCCCTATAGTCATATGAGTAGGTATATTACCTTTAATTATCAGTGCCTGTTGTTCTGAGATCGGTGGGGCAGAGCTGCCCGCTGCTCGGCGCACAAAATGGAGGTGAACAGTACAGCCCCCTCTCTCCCTCAAAACTAATCAAATACACCATCAAATGACTCCAAAACGCTCTAGTGGACAACTTGTAGCTAACACATTCTCCACGCTATGAAATAATAATGTATAATTAAGTAACATTGACACATGAAGCAAATACTCGGAACTACTTTCTTCAGTAAACCACTGGGTGGAGTGACACAGTGCGCACCTGAAACAGTGACGTAGTTATTACTTGCAGCCCTGCATTTGTGGTATCGTCAGCTGGACGTACCAGAAGGTTTGAGGAAAGTTTACAGAGTGTTGTTGTAAATCCTGGTTTACACATGTATTGTAAAAGGTTGCGGTAACAAGCCGAAGACATGGAGCAGAGTGAAGTTTCAGTACCAACCAAAAATACGGACAGGATGAAACAATGACTATTTGTGCTGGACATCGACCCCAACACGCCTGTGGAAATGGTCCGGAAAATGTTTGTTTGCTCCAACCATTTTTTACCGGAGGACTACAGTGAAAGGATGGAGCGCAGAAGCTCAGGAATGGTTCAAAAACTTTTCTTGAAAGAAACTGAAATACCATCTGTCGGCATCACAAAACGAGCAGACGTGGTAAGTGATCGTTGTGTATTTTGCTCAGCAATCTCTGCTGTAACGTTACCTCCATGTTGAGTAACATTAGCCTACAACCCAAGCATGGTAAATAAGGCTGAAATGCAAATGTTGTTGTGGTTATGTTATGGATAAGTGCTTGCCCAGAGCATATAGTGAAGTGACTGGCATTACTTCTCATTGTTGGGAATAAACAGACTACTAGGGAACATTTTATGTTGTTGTTCCTTCAGGAGTTGTGGTGATTTATGAGTGTGGAGTAGCTGTAGTAAGTAGAGTAGTAGAGAGTAGCTAGTAACTGCACTAAACATACGCTGTTTGAAATCACTCCGCCCAGCAAGTACTGTATGTCTGGAATGTAGTTCCGGCTGTGCATTTGGCTTCAAAACAACTCTGTCTCGTAATATTACATTATTATTTCATAGCGTGGTGAATGTGTAAGCTACAAGTTGTCCACTAGAGCGTTTTGGAGTCATTTGATGGTGTATTTGATTAGTTTTGAGGGAGAGAGGGGGCTGTACCATTCACCTCCACTGTCATCCAGCGTTCACACAATACTTCTCCCCTGATTCACAAACTCTGCTCCTCCTCCTCCTCCTCTTCTTCCTGCTCCTCCTCCCTGTCGTCCTCTTCCTCCTGCTTCTTCTAGCCCTGCTCTGACTGTTCATCTCCTCAGGTCTGAGACACTCTGTGGAAAATCTTATCTAAGTCTCGACTCTAAGTCTTAACTTGAAGTGTTAACTTGAAGTGTTAAGTTTAAGTCTAAGTGTTAACTTTAAGTCTTAACCTTAAGTCTTAACTTTAAGTGTTAACTTTGAGTCTTAATTTTAAGTTTTAACTTAGCTCTGTGATCATGGCAGTGTGCAGAGCAGCAGGTGGGACAGACGTGTGTAGTTTTACATGTATAAATAATGTGACACGTGTTTATGAATGGATGAATTCTCTTAGCTGTTTACGGCCTGATTAACCCTTTAATTTCCCCTCAGACAGATGTGACTCTGACGTGTCATCTTGTTACCAATCACAGCTGCTCCTCACTGTCACATGTGAGACAGGGACACAGAGGACGAGACACTCAGCTACAACAAATCTGTCGTTGGCACTGCGTCACAGTGAACGTCCCGCTGACAGAGCGCAGATCAATACATGACCCACTTCCTGTCCTCCATTGATCATGTGTGTGTGCGTGTGTGTGTGTGTGTGTGTGTGTGTGTGTGTGAGAGTGTGTGTGTGTGTGTGTGTGTGTGTAGAATGTCAGTAATGATTTTTCCACTGACTCTCAGGCTAGTTCCACTTCCTGTCTGTCCTCCTGTCTGTCCTCCTTTCTGTTCTCCTGTTTGTCCTCCTGTCTGTTCTCTTGTCCTCCTGTCTGTCCTCCTTTCTGTCCTCTTGTCCTCCTGTCTGTCCTCCTGTCTGTCCTCCTTTCCCCATAACGCCACATAACAGGATGTAAGACTGAGAACCTCCTCTGATGACATCACACCACAATGATAAATAAACACAATCATAAAAACGTTTGTAAACGTTCCGGCGACTTCTACCGTGAAACTGTTCACATCATCAGTCGTCCCCGTCATCGGCACGTCTGGGTGATGACTTTCAATGTTTGTTCAGAACACCGACACGCCGTCCTTGCTGCCGTCTGCAACTGTAGCAGGAGGCAGAGCCTCCACACAGTCACTGATTCACAGCTAATCAGCCGCTGGTGTTAACGTCAGTGCATTACTGGCGACGCACACTTGTGCGCCTGAACGTTGGTTCCACATCCTGTGCGTCAGTCATCATACGGTTTGTTCTGCGCACTCCGACCGCTTCGGTACAAAATCACCAACCGCCACAGTTCTAAGGGCAAACAGGAAGTGGGCCAAATCCAGCCTCCACAAACTGCTGAACACTTCCTGTTTGGCCTCTGTCACTGTGCTGCTGAGAGCTCCACCTGTCCCAGCAGCATCCACACAGGGGTCAAAGAAGCTCCGCCCTTCAGTTCCCGTCACCACACATTACACTCACCTCAGTAATCATGTCAGCAGCTGGACCTCCATCAACCCTACCTGCATGGTGAACGTCTGCTCCACCTCCTACTGCGACACCTGGAATCACCACACAACTACGTCACAGTACTCTCCATTGCCTGCACTTAAACCACCCTCTCCACCCTCTATGCCCTCTACACCATCTCCACCCTGTAGACGAACACCTCCACCCTCTCCACCCTGTACACTAACACCTCCACCCTCGGCACCCTGTACACTAACACCTCCACCCTCTGCACCCTGTAGACGAACACCTCCACCCTCTCCACCCTGTACACTAACACCTCCACTCTCTGCACCCTGTACACTAACACCTCCACCCTCTGCACCCTGTAGACGAACACCTCCACCCTCTCCACCCTGTACACTTACACCTCCACCCTCTCCACGCTGTACACTAACACCTCCTCCCTCTCCACCCTGTACACTAACACCTCCTCCCTCTGCACCCTGTACACTAACAACTCCTCCCTCTCCACCCTGTACACTAACCTCTCCACCACCTCCACCCTCTCCACTTTGTACACTAACAACTTCACCCTCTCCCCCCGTACACTAAAGCCGGATGTCCACTGGATCCGTCACGTGCATGATCTGGACGTAGTGCGGGTGCTGGAGCTAATCGTGGCCATTCAAATCAATGTAAGCTGCTCCACCAGAAGCGCCATGGCATGTCATAGCCGCAGCCTAGACGTGGCACGGCGCTCCACTCCGCAAAAAGTATGCGCCTGGTCTATTTGTGACAAATGCCGCACGATTGCGCGTCAATTTGCATAGACCAAATGACTCAAACAGTAAGTCAGGCACAGAAACGACAAGAGTATATGGGCAATTTTCAAGATAAAACACCCATGAAAACTCCGGATCTTATTTCACATCGCTACATTAACATCACAAAATCAAGAGAAAAATCCTGAGATGGCCTCTTCAGTGGTCAATGTCCTACAGTGGCCAATGTCCTACAGTGGTCAGTGTCCTACAGTGGCCAATGTCCTACAGTGGTCAATGTCCTACGGTGGTCAGTGTCCTACAGTGGTTAGTGTCCTACTTCAGTGGTCAATGTCCTACAGTGGTCAGTGTCCTACTTCAGTGGTAAATGTCCTACAGTGGTCAGTTTCCTACAGTGGTCAGTGTCCTACTTCAGTGGTCAATGTCCTTCAGTGGTCAATGTCATACAGTGGTCAGTGTCCTACTTCAGTGGTCAGTGTCCTACTGTGGTCAGTTTTCCTACAGTGGTCAGTGTCCTACTTCAGTGGTCAATGTCCTACAGTGGTCAGTTTTCCTACAGTGGTCAGTGTCCTACAGTGGTCAATGTCCTACAGTGGTCAGTGTCCTACAGTGGTCAGTGTCCTACTTCAGTGGTCAGTGTCTTACTTCAGTGGTCAGTATCCTACTTCAGTGGTCAATGTCCTACAGTGGTCAGTGACCTACAGTGGTCAATGTCCTACGGTGGTCAGTGTCCTACAGTGGTTAGTGACCTACTTCAGTGGTCAATGTTCTACAGTGGTCAGTGTCCTACTTCAGTGGTAAATGTCCTACAGTGGTCAGTTTCCTACAGTGGTCAGTGTCCTACTTCAGTGGTCAATGTCATACAGTGGTCAGTGTCCTACTTCAGTGGTCAGTGTCCTACAGTGGTCAGTTTTCCTACAGTGGTCAGT